CAGCACAGCAGCACTGCACCCACTTCCCACTTCCCACTACCCAGTACCCAGTACTGCTCTCCATGAACAATCTGCACGCCATCACCATCGGTCTGTCTGCTGGCGTGTCTGATTGTCTGTCCGTCCATCCGTCTGTCTGCGCAAACTGCCTGCACATCTCTTTATTTTGCACCTTTTGTACGTTTTTAATTTTCCTGTTTTATTTCCGGTTTTGCGATTCCGATCTCAAATCTAGATTGCAATGACGTCGCTGCCGGCGCTACAGCGGCCGAATGAGCCGCTCACCTACACCTACAATACTCGTACGCCTATGCATCTACACTCGTATATACAAGTATGGACGTATTTGCTCTTCCCACCGACCACCGTTCCCGCACACTTCCACAACTACACATTTCCATGCCCAATGCAAAGCATATTCTCGCTTTAATCCGACGACATTCCTTTAAAAGGCGTCCTCCGACTCTGACTCCGACTCCGGCTCCACTCTCCTTTTCCACGTGTAAGCCGAGATTCTTCCCTCAGTTGCAGCGCAGTTGACGCGACCAGATAAGCGACGTGCGATGGGACCGTGGGGTGACGTGGCAGGCTGGGAAGAGGCAAGAGCTGAGGCTGAGAGCTGAGAGCCGGGAAAGTGTGGGCGCGCGACGTTAAACGTTTATGTGCTTAGCTGGCTTTGTAAAAATATTTGCATAAAAAGGTCAGTAGCACCTTTGATAGTCGCCAGATGTGTGTGTGTGTGTGTGTGTGTGTGTGTGGGTGTAGGCGTAGGTCTGCGCGCGTGTGTGTGTGTGTGTGTGTGTGGACACAGGAAGCAACGTTTATCTTGGGCGACAGCCACAACGTTGACTACGACATTGATGAAAGCGCGTTGAAGGACTTGGCCAACCAGTTTCTCTCCAACTGCCTCGCCACATGACTTGCGGCATTCGCAGCAGCCGTTCCGCACTGGGATATCGAAACTAGGGGAAGCGAGGGCGGGGGGTTGGGGTTCTGATGCTGTTTGTTTTATCATAAAACTGACAGCATTCCTGGCAGTCGTTGGCCACTCACTGAAGCGCCACTAAACATGGCAACTCTCTAAACATGCTGATACTGTTTGCCGTCCCCTCCTCCACCCCCCCTGCTGTCTTGCTGTTTATTCTCACGTATTTGCATTCGCAAAGGGTCACATTTTTGTGTTGCTCTATGGATTGCAACTCTTTCTTTATCAATAGTGATGTTTGATCAGCACTAAATTCTCTTTCACTTCCTATGCCTTTTCACTCCTACAGCCAGCCACACATCTATGGCACATAGTAGAAGAACTTCTTACGATGCCTTAAAATTAAGAAAGGTTTATTTTAATATTCCAACAAAATTTTTGTTCATATCGTCCAAAACTTGACGAAAATTTGCAAAAAGATGGACAGAAAAAAACTCAACCCATTTTAAAAGTAGTGCAATGGAAGTTTTAGTTCATCTCCTGTCCTAACTAAACTTACTTCAATTTGAAGAAAGCCTTCATATGTACTGATACCACATACTATATGCTAAGAGGTTTCCTCAAATGACTCCATACCATGTAAGCTGTATAACTGAAAAATTGAAAACAATTTCGCCCGGTTATACTGGGGCTATTTATCTAACACATTTTGTTGAGAAAACCACAGAAAAATTAAGGAGTCTTTAGATAGAAATTTGATTGCAATTTAAAATGAAGAACATTTTGCAAGCAGTTTGTTGATGTTTTAATTGAATGATTTTGCTTTCAAAATAGTGGGCCGTGAATTTATTTTAAGCAGAATGTTCAGCATTTACTCAGCTTCAATGCTGTTTACATTCAGAGACAATTCAGCCGATTATTAAAAACAACAACTTGAAGAAACAATTTGTTTAGATACCACATCCATGAACAAATTGTTACTGTTACGACGAAGTTGCTCATCATAATAATGTTATAAGATTCCACAAAATATATGCTTTCTCTTTTTGTGTCACATGCTATGGTTTCACTTGCTAGTCAATTCAGTCATTCAGTTGTTATTATTTTCCGCGCCAACATTAAAACCCACATTACTGCCTAGTTTATACCGATTTCTGGATGCTTTTAGGACAGCCACTATACGAGTACACCCCATTTTGCTTTAAAGTTTGGTTGTTTATGAGTAGACTTTTATTAAATATTTGAATATTCGACCCAATTCAATTAAAAATATCACTTTGTTTTGTCTTTGTTGCTGCAAGAATTCCAGCCATGATTTCCGCAGGCTACGAAAAATGTTGGAACAAGTTGGCTCGCGCAAACGTAGGGGCTCTTCTTTGGCCCTGGCCATCGTTTTCCGCTCCTGCTTTCGCCCTTTTGCAGCACATTCTCCACTGCAGGCATTAACAATAAAAGCCAATTTACAAAAAAGCAAAACACTAGACAAATAACAACTGACGACCAATGGACATTTAAGCGGCGGGGGCCAGCAGGTGACAGCCAACAGCGCTCCACATCGTCCTTATGGCGAAAAAGAGCTAGAGGAGAGAGAAAGAGTGTGCCTGGGAGATGGAGGAAGGGAGGGGGAGCTTTAATGCATAACAAAGCGTAATGCCAAAGCATTGTTAGCAGCCTGCCAGATTCTCATCCAGCCTCTGCCTTCTGGCATCCTGGCCGTCTGTCTGTCTGCCTGCCTGCCTGCCTGCCTCCTGCCTGCCTGCCTGACAAAACAAATAAGCTTCGTCCAACTCGCGCAACTTTCCTCACTTGTCTGCCCGAACGAGTGGCCTCCTGGCTTGTTTGGCTCGGCAGATTTGTTGCTGTTGATAAAAAAGATTGACAGCGTTGATAGTCGAAATAATTAATTGAATGAAAATGCTACAACAAATGCCTTTAATTAGTGTTGGGTTTCTCCGCACGTCGCGTCGGTGTGAGTGCTGTTGTCGGCGCTTGGAAACTGTTTTGATAGGAGTATGGCTCCGACGTAGTCTGTCTGTCTGTCTGTCTGTCTGTCTTCCTGTCTGCCTGCTCAGCATGGGCTAACTGCTTACCCACACATGTGCCTTTTCGGTTATGTTTGGTGGCCACACGCAAGTCGACCTAAAATTTTAAAGTGTGCATAAAAATGTACAATTTGAAAGTGTGGTGTGTGGTGTGCGATGTGCGGTGTGTGTGATGTGCGGATGCGGGTGCAAGAATCCAAGGGTGACATCAGTCAGGGGGTGATGGGTGGAGGGGCGACAGGTGTGTGTTAGCTATCGTCATACCTCTGCTCACACTTTCCTTTTTCTTGTAGTTGTTCTTCTTGTCGTACTCGCGATTTTCCATGAAAATTATTCAAGCTGAAGGATGTATGATAATTTCCGACGGAAGTGTAATCAAAAATCGCTTAGACAAGTGTGTAAGTGTGTGTGTGTGCGTGTGTGTATACAGCGTCTTTCTGTTTGTGTCTTGTATGTATGGCTTGACTGCGACAATATATATTTAATGCCATCCCCACGGATTTGTACAATTTCTCACAAGGCAAACTTTCATTCTGATACGTTTTTAATCTCGCACGAAATGCTAAACCATTTGAGCGAACAATTGTAATTAGCCGCACTTAAAATGAAATATCAGCTGTCCACAATTGACACATAAATTGGGCTAACCACAAGGTCAACTTCAAGCCGGCGGAGAGCCACCCACAATTACAATTATTTCCCACACAGTCCGTTTGACCAAGCACATTTCTCGCCTTCCTTTCGTCACTCGCCGAGGACTTCATTAGACGCAACAGCAACCACAAGAATAAGAGCAACAACCACACCCATGCCAGGCCAAACCCAGACCTATGGCCACTCTCTGGCCCCTTTGAGTGAGTGCCCGGCAGACGTTTTATGTTGATTTATGACGGTTCATATTTCAAATGAGCTCTGAGGTTGATGGGGTAGTCAATACTTACTACAAGTATGTGAGTGTGCTTGTATGTATGTATGAGTGAGTGAGTGCTGTCTGGCAGTAGATAGTGCCGGTTAGTGCCCCATACCCAATGATAACCCTTGCTTCTCGTGACTGCTGCCAGCCAACTGGCCAGAGGACAGCCCCATACTCGTACGCGTGTGAAAACATAATCGCTAGATGTTACGATTAGCAGAGGAAAAAAACGGTTACATATTCAGCTCCATTGATTTAATATTTTCTCTTAAACCACTAACTATAACTGCTATCCGAATAAGAACTGATCGTCGTTCTCTGTGAGATCTCTTTTCATCACAGCATCTAAGCTAATGGACCTTTTTTTTTAAAAAAAATTTCACCCAACATATTTTGTTCCTTATGCAATTATGCCGAGTCTTAATACCCTGCATCCGCACTTTTTCGCGCTTCAATGAATCCATTAATATAGGCTCTGTTATGTCAATATTTTCTATGGAAGCTTTGCGCTATGGCATTTTAACAAAATGTAGATAAATACCAGATTGGCCTAGGCTATCTTTATAAGCAAATAGTTATCCCACGAATAATAATTTCTTCCACCCATCGGCCCTATAAAAATGTAAGATGGCTCTGCGAACATAGAAGACAAGTCTAAATACCATGTGTGCCTAGCTATAATGGCTCAAGAGTTATCGGACGAACGAATAGCTGAACATGTCTATATCACATAACAGCATGGGATCTTATTTCTAGTAAAGCATTTCACCCCTCAAGTACAGCGTGACAAAATCGACTTATTAAATAAATGAGCTAATGTAAAGATCCCTTGAGCTCAAGTTCCGCAGATTAAATGCTTATCCCTTCTTTGATGACACTGATTGACCAATTTTGAAAATGATTTACCAATCTGAAAATACTATAAACACATTCCATTTAACGATTATAGTTTGTGTGATTGATAATTTAATTTACGAGTTGACGATTAGCTCATCCACTCTAAATTAAATTAATGTTTTCTAGATGGTTAAATGTCAATACTCCCTGATATGGAATCGGCATGACTGCCCAAATTCCATATTGTGGAAATGCCATAAAATACACCCATCAGAAAAATACGTTTTTGTTTTGTAAAAATACATTTTTAATTTTGCATATCAAATAAATATCTACATCAAAATATATACTTAAAATTTTTGTATCGAAATGGAAATTATTGCTCTTTTTTCCTATAGCTGCTGCGGGAGCTCTTCGAGAATCGATTTGAGGCTCAACTCGTTAATGAGCTGCAACAACAGGAACCCAACTCTCTTCATGCCGCATCAAGGAAAGACAATAGCTGATGCTCAATAGCGCGTTGCTCTAAAGTTCAATCTGGGTATAAGGTCATAGTCCGTGAGGTGCTTCAGATATAAGCTTAAGTTCAATCCGGTGGTAAAGTATAAAATTGAGAGCTGGAGAAAACGGAGGTAGAATGTGGAATATTAACTCACCATTCGGGAATGAGATCTGTGCACTTACATGTTCTTAAACGTTCAATCACATATAAATTGTGCATTATCTCTCTCTCTCTCTCTCTCTGTCTCTCTCTCTCTCTCTCTCTCTCTCTACAACTTATTTCATCTTTCTTTCAATCATAAAGTACAAGTATATCTAAGTCCGGGTATCAAATCAAAATTTGATTATGTATATATATGTATGCATATGGTTAGCCAGCAGTTTAATTTCATCTTATACTTGTATGACGTAGTCTAGTACTTCTCCAATATACGAGTGTAAAGGTGTAGAATAATGCTGCTGAAAAGATCACCTTCTTGGATTTGGCTGCCACATCAAACATATAGATGAACACTTACTTGATCAGTCATGTTGATGCGTTTGATGTTCAGATGACTGGTCGTTGTCATTGTCATTGTATTTTTATTTGATTTGATCGTACAAATAAAAATGTGTTCAAATGTGGCTTCGCCTGTGGATCAAATAAAATGAACATACTTCTCTAAACCCGGATTTGCAAACTTACATTTATACATTTATCCTTACTATGATGTACTTTGTGAGTGTATAAGTGTTTATGTATCTATGTATGTATGTATGTATCTATGTATGTATGTATGTATGTATGTATGTATGTATGTATGTATGTATGTATGTATGTATGTATGTATGCAGGTATGTAGGTATGTACGTAGATATGTATGTAGATATGTATGTAGATATGTATGTAGATATGTATGTAGATATGTATGTGTATTGATGGTTTATTTGATCTTTCTTGATTGAATGGTGCTGCAGGAACCATCAGCAAAGTTCATTAATTAATAACAAAGTTGCGTGAATTCCTACCTTCTGGGCGATGTGGATATTTCTGCGGATCAACGAATGCCTTGCTATGCTTACGCACTCCGCAGTCCGGTTTATTTCATAAAATAGGTATGTTGTATGCTGTTGCGTGCCAGATGGAGTCTTGAGAATATTCACCAACTATTCTAAGAACATCTTCTGGGCTGAACGTTTCAAAGTGTAGAATACGTGTATATGCCGTTTTATGCGAGTAAATGGATCACAAGTGTTGGACAGTGCTGCAGAAAATATCTCTTCTCAGATGACGAACTAGGAATGTTAAATTTTGGATAAACACTTACTTTATGAGCGTCGGAGAGATCCGGTAATCCTTGGTATGTATCTGTTGCTTGAATGTGACTGCTCCTGAGTCTACAGAATAATTAATAACTACACCGAGGCATAGACTTCTCATTTGCTTTGTGGCTCTATAGGTTGCTTCGTTCCTGCTCAACTGGTCCTTCCATGTGCTTCTCGATGTTATGTGTACTATATGGGTCATAGGAACTGTATGTAGTGCTGCAGAAAATCGCACTTACTGGATGGAGCCAACAACTAAGTATGGATAACTTGGATGAATACTTACTTGAGACTGGAATGCAAATGTATTGTAATGCTCTTGAATATAGTATATACGCAGACATTTTTTAAAAAACTTGAAATTGACACTTTTTACTTAAACCTAACAAACATTTCACTTTTTGCTTAATCCTATATTGAAAAATATTTTTTTTTTTTTTCGTATGTGTTTTCTCTACAAAATATAATTTAGAACTGAACAAATGTTGAGTTCAGACTTGGCATGTTTAAATCAAATTTTGAAAGTAAAGGCAAGCCAACTATGGTTGCTTCTCGGCATGCTTTGCGAGTCTCAAAAATAGATATTTTTCGAAAATGGTAGCACATTCGTACAAGTGTTGATGTTACTTTTTTTTAATGAATTGGCTTTATTTACTTCACAAATATTTAAATATTTTAATTTTGTAATCATGGCAACTTGCTGACTAATATGGGTAACATATTGCGGCTCGTAAAGGTACGATTCCTGCACTTCTTCCTTTTTATTTTGATTTCGTGTTTTTGCAGGCATTGAGCAAAACTTCCTGAATGGCTGCTGCGACGCGTCACCAATCGTCCACATTTACGGATGACTTCTGTGCCGCAACAACAACAACAACAACAATGAAAGCAATAGTGTTTTGCATATTTCGGTAAGCGTTTTCGTATTTTCCCCGTTTTGTTACAAAAAAATCCGATATTTCAATGCTTTCGGATCCTAGTCTGCTTTTGTTCGAATTCACACCAGAGGCAGCGGCGTCGATGGCCATGGGCAGCGGACGATTAACAAATGAACTGATAAGGGGGAAGATGTGGTAGCGGGGGTGGGGAAGGGAGGGAAAATGTATTTGGTTGCATGCTTTACTTTTTTATTTCTTTTTATTTGATTTCCAGTTGCTCTGGCCAGTTTGAATTTTGCTCAAACAGTCGGAAACCAAAAGATTTTAATGCCATAAATGCATATTTTCGTCATTCAATTGGCAAAAGGGCATGTGTGGCCAACGACATTGTTGCTATTGTTGTTTTGGTTGTGTTTGTTGTTGCTGTTGGATTTTGAGCCTGTGAGCACAGTTGAAGGGATTTGGCATGCATTTTAACTGAATAATTGATAAAAATTTGACACAGGCGTTTAAGTTGAGTGCACATTGCAGCAAAAAAACGCAAAGCAGATCAGATCAGATGAGAACAAGTACACTTAGGGAAAACACGGGTAAGTTTGTAAAGTACATTTGGAACTGAGCTTACTTGAATCAAGTGTGAAACAATCTGTAGACTCTGCACTGGAATTGTGAATAAGGAAATAAATATAAACAAGAAAGGAATGCTAAAGTCGAGCAGGCTCAACTTTTAAATACCCTGTACCACCCCACAAAAAAGTAATTAAATTAATTAATTAATTTAATTAAATTAATTAACTAAATTAATTTAATTAATTAACTAAATATTAATTAATTAAATATAAAATATTCCATGCATGCATACATACATTTACAATTATATCAGAATCGTGTCTATGCGTGTTTGTGTACTTGTACATATGTATGTATGTGTGCATTGAGCCTGGTTATATGGCTATAACTTTCTTTCCGATCATTCTATCATAATGAGACTTGGTATACGGTTATATAATTACTAACCTAATGTGACTACCAAATTTTAGTTCAAAGTTCCAAGAATTACGGGAGTTATAGAAAATCGTTAATAGGGGCGGAGTGGGGGGGGTGGATCAGAAAAAATGAACAAACTCGTCCTTTCTCGGTCTCAGGAGAATCTGTATACCAAGTTTGGTTATTCTAGCTCTTATACTTTCGGAGATCCTTGCGTTCATACAGACAGACAGACGGACAGACGGACAGACAGACGGACAGACAGACGGACAGACAGACGGACAGACAGACGGACAGACGGACAGACTGACATGGCTATATCGACTCGGCTTGTCATGCTGATCAAGAATATATATACTTTGTGGGGTCTACCAAGCCTCCTTCTGTGTGTTCCATGTGCACTCGCACTAAACTAATATACCCTTGTACCCTTTGGGTACAGGGTATAAAAACTAGAAAATAAATAAACTACCAAATTAAAAAATATTTATATATATTACTGGAACCATTAATATTAACGGAAAAAACATAGAAACTACTTGGATGACTTTTAATATTATTCGCTATTTACACGATTTTCCAGGTAAAAGATAATGTTCTTAAAACAGTCTATTCTCATGTACTGTACATCGATTTTTTAAAGAATATTCAGTGCTTAACTAAAGGGTATTTTGCATTGGAACAGCAGGTTGGGTAACCAGATTTTGTACGAAGTGTATATATACTGTGTACTTGTATATATGCATACTCGTATGAACAAATGTTCTGTTAACAAATGAGAAAGTGCCATAGACCCTTTGGCCAAATACGTCTATATTGTATATATTGTTAATTAATGCGTAAATAAGGCATGGCATCTACATACATTTAGTACATATGTGTGTGTATTATATATATACAAGTATATGTACATTTGTGTGTATGTATTTAGTATCAATTGTGGTGCCTGAAGTGGTGCGGCTCTATCGATGGCGAAGATGGGAGACAAAAAGCACAAGCGCCATCAAAGCCAATTGCTGTCGTCTGTCATTGTAGGTGTTGGTGACGTTGCCGACGTTGCTGCGTTGCATGCAACACAAAAATGAAATATACAAAGTGGAATTGAAGTAGAATTATTCATGGGATTTCACTGTGCACCAATGCCTACATGTATGCAACCACACCATCTGGTTAGCTTTGAAGAAGGTATTGCTGTTTCTTAATACATTTTCCGATTCTTTTCATTGTCTTTCTTTTTTCTTTCTTTCACTGTTAGCCTATTGCAAGTGCCGCCCCAACTATCTTTTTTTTCTATGTACCAGGCATAGGGATCTCTATAAATTAATTATGTATTATGGGTGTTGATGGAGTGTACGGTCAAGAACCCTCCCACAGGCTGTTTTGCTAGCCGCCGTCAATGTATCCCGCACCGACCCTCTCCCCCAACAACGTCAGCCCATAGAATGTGTATGGTTGTACATTATACGTGTCTTATTGTGTGTACATTACATCTCTGTACAGTAAAAAAATTTGGCGTGCAACCTTATCTGTTCTCACCTTACATAAATTTGATGAGAACCAGACTAATTTCACATTACATAATGGCGGTATTCGGGTGGATTCAGGTGTTTCCTATATCGTGCTCAATGACCATATTGTCAATTGTCGAACAAAGGCGAATGAAATGTTTATGTTTTAATATTAATGCAATCGTAATTGTAATCGCAATGGGCCCACACGCAAGCTCGATTTGCTGCCACTAATGGCTTCGAACCTTATAGTCAGTCAACGCCAACGCATTTATGCCGTAATGCCAATTAATTTGACCGTTTTTACTGCCAACAGCAACAGTAATAGAAACGGAAACAGAGAGAGAAACAGCAACAATGGCCAATGACCAAAAAACATTCAATGAATTTCAATTGTCATGTTTATGACTGTGTTTAGGCAAACGGACAAAATGGTCGCCCATCCAACAAGGACTACAGCACTCCCACACGCACGCACAAGGACAAGCACAAACATAACTGTCAGACATGGTCACATACTGGTGTCTACATGTATGTATGTTTGTATAAATACGAGTATATCTGTGGGTGCATATGGTGTTCATATTTAACTACTTAAAATTCAATTGCGCCTAAAATAAATGGTTGTCAAATCGTTTGTCTGCCTGCCTCTGCTCTGCTCCTCTCCGCTCTGCTCGAAGGCTGTCCAATTTGCATGTATAGCTGCCGATTGTGGCTGTGCCTGTGCGTGTGTGTGTGTATATGACTTGTTGTTGTTATTGTTGTTGTTGCTATTGTAACTAAGTGTCAATTGTCATGTGTCAAATTGTGGCGTACGAATTAGGGTAATCAGTGCTCAACAGTATGTTTGATTGCTTGCTTTATTTATGATTGTTTGCACAACTCGTGCAGGGCGGGACTGGAGCTATAGTGGACATGTGGCCAGGCAATCGTTTTCCCTATACATACATACATACATATGTACACACTATGTGTGTTTGTACAAACTTACATTGTATATGCAGCTATTTGTCTGCTCATTTGTCTGGATTGTTATTGTCATGGACATTGGTGGGTCGTCTACGGCCGGCTGGTTGACTGAGTTCTGTGGCAGCCTCGTTTTCATTTCATTCATTCGATTTGTGGTATTTTCGCTTATTTTTTCCGCGCAAATGCAGTTTGTTGTTTTCATGTTTGTAGAGTACAAGTATGCGATTAATTGAATGATAGATCGGGTAAGTTTCGCTTAAATGCCACTACTTATTGCACGGCCTTAATTCAAATACTGTTAATGCCACACCAAGTAGAAGGTGAGCTGAAAAAGCACACGAAACAATGCCAGAGAACAAAAGACAAACACGCCAGCGACTTAGCCGCAATTACAAGTTTATTTAAGTTGAACTCGACTACGTGCAGCGTGCAACGCGCAACTTTGTGCTGCACGCCCCCAACCACCCCAACCCCTTAACCACACCAACAACAATGGCACCACAACACTGACACCTCAAGAGTCAGAGGCGCACCGGAGAGGATTCAAGACATTAGTTTTAGAATCCTTGCATCAGAAATAACGAACAGTCAAAGGAAGTAACACCTCAAACTAGACTCAGCTTCCAAAACCTCTCTGATTACAACACTAGTTTGTAATCCAAAAATGTATGTATGTATTTCGGTTCAATGCTAATCAAAGCTACTATTAATCCTCGCGATTAATAGTCCCCGAGGGCCAATTAATCGAAATGACAAAATTGCACGTGTTGATTGACAAATCAGTCTGTTTGTGAAATCCAAGCAGTGATCACTAGAAGCGGACAAGCAGTTCCTTTAAGATACTAGTTTCCTCTCGTTTTAACTAACTGTATTTTTCGTTTTTTGTCTCATTACACAATCCCTTTGCCATTTACTTTCATTTTCAGCTGAAATCTTCGCCTTGAAAAGTCGAAGAAATTCTATTATAACGTAACATTAATGATTCGCATTCATCTATTAGGTCTTGTATTGCATATTATTATTTTAGTAACTCAATTATTTATATTATTATTGTATTTCGTTAAGACCAAGC